AGCTGGCCCCTGCTCCTGACACGTCCCCTGGGGCTCCCTGGGCTTGACCACCGGCGCCCCTTCTGGGAATCCTCTGATTCGCTGGAAAGACTCATGGAATCTCTTGAGTCATTGTCATCCTCTTCCTCGCTGTCCTGGGATTCATCCCCATCGCTCTCCATCTCCTGCCTACCCTGTGCCTCTGTCCCTGAACCCCTGACAACTGGCATAAAAATGCATTTATCTGTGAAAAGAACGTTCAAAAACTGCTTTATTTGGGGGGAAAACAGCTGCATTAAAATGTGTGCATTCGGGAAAAATGTTTATGGGAAGTGCAATTTGCAGGACCCCGTTTTCACGAAATCAAAATTGACTGATTCTCCCATCCTTACCTCTTCAGACAGCTGGGCACTCATGACTTCAGGAAAATGCCTTAGAAAACATCTGCAGGATATCTAAATATGGGAGCAGGGGGATATGGTATTAGGAAAGAGTTAGGGTGCCCTCTAGTGTCCAACCATAGGGCTTCCATACATCCAGAATTTCCCAGACAAAGCCGGAATACAGTGGTACCTCGGTTTACGAACTTAATCCATTCTGGAAGTCTGTTCTTAAACCAAAACCGTTCTTAAACCAAGGCGCGCTTTCCCTAAGGAGGCCTCCCAGCGCTGGTGCCCTTCCACCATTCGGATTCCGTTCTTAGACCGAGGTAAAGTTCTCAAACCAAGACACTATTTCTGGTTTTGCGGAGTTTGTAAACAAAATTGTCCTGAAACCAGACTGTTCTTAAACCGACGTACCACTGCATTGATCTTGGAGAATTTTCTTTAAAATAGCTCAAACTTTGCCCCCCCCCCAAAAAATATCTCAATAACTCAATAACTTCTGTGTCTGGATTTTCACTTTTCAAAATACCGTATTTTTCCGTCTATAAGACACCCCCATGTATAAGATATAATGTATATCTTATACATATATGTATATATAATGTATCTTATGTATATATAATGCATTTTGGGGGACTCAGGTTTTAAAAAGGGGGATGTATCTGTGTATAAGACACCCCCTAATTTTTGACATTATTTTTTAGGAAAAAAACCTAGTCATATACGCAGAAAAATATGGTATGTCACCCCCAAACACTGACAAAGGAATATAGGAAGTGACCTCATACTAATTCAAACTGTTGGTCCACGTGGCAGCCTCTCAGTGGTGCTTGATGCCCTAGCTAAGGTTGCCATATGTCCTCTTTTTCCAGGACATGCCCTCTTTATCAAGGGTATATAAAGTGGAAAGTTGTCAGCGATCCATAGTTAAAAGTCAAAGTTGGCGAATGTGTCCTCTTTTTTGCTCTTCAAAATATGGCAGGCGTACAGCCCAGAGCTTTCCAAGCCAGGTGTCATGACACGTTAGTGTGTCGTCTGCAGTGCGTAGGTGTGTTGGCACAAGCGCTTCTCCCGGGGCTGGAAAGGGGTTAATTTAACCTCCAGTTCGCTAGTAAAACTGAACGACTGTGTCACGAAATGATACATGTCTAAAAGGTTTGTCACCAACATGAAAAGTTTAAAAAGCTCCGCTGGCCTAGCCAATGGTAGATGATCTGTCACATTTTGTAGTACCAGCTCGTCCCCAATTCCAGTGAGTGAACATAGAGCTTCTGAATGGGGTAACTGTGCCCCTGAAGGACCAGGTGCGCAGCCTGGGAGTCATTTTGGACTCATAGCTGTCCATGGAGGCGCAGGTCAATTCGGTGTCCAGAGAAGCTGTCTAACAGCTCCATCTGGTACACAGGCTGAGACCCTACCTGCCCACGGACTGCCTCGCCAGAGTGGTGCATGCTCTGGTTATCTCTCACTTGGACTACTGCAATGCACTCTATGTGGGGCTACCTTTGAAGGTGACCCAGAAACTACAACTAATCCAAAATGTGGTAGCTAGACTGGTGACTGGGAGTGGCCGCCGAGACCACATAACACCAGTCTTGAAAGACCTACATTGGCTCCCAGTACGTTTCTGAGCACAATTCAAAGTGTTGGTGCTGACCTTTAAAGCCCTAAACAGCCTCGGTCCTGTATACCTGAAGGAGCATCTCCATCCCCATCGTTCTGCCTGGACACTGAGGTCCAGCACTGAGGGCCTTCTGGCTGTTCCCTCACTGCGAGAAGCCAAGTTACAGGGAACCAGGCAGAGGGCCTTCTGCCCTGTGGAACACCCTCCCAAAAGATGTAAAAGAGAACAACAACTACCAGACTTTTAGAAGACATCTGAAGGCAGCCCTGTTTAGGGACGCTTTTAATGTTTGATGCATTACTGTACAGTGGTACCTCAGGTTAAGTACTTAATTCATTTCAGAAGTCCTTTCTTAACCTGAAACTGTTCTTAACCTGAGGTACCACTTTAGCTAATGGGGCCTCCCCCTGCCGCCGCCAACTGATTTCTGTTCTCAACCTGAAGCAAAGTTCTTAACCCAAGGTACTATTTCTGGGTTAGCGGAGTCTGTAACCTGAAGTGTCTGTAACATGAAGCGTATGTAACCCGAGGTACCACTGTATTTTAATACTTTGTTGGAAGCCGCCCAGAGTGGCTAGGAAAGCCCAGCCAGATGGGCGGGGTATAAATTTAGTAGTAGTAGTAGTAGTAGTAGTAGTATTAAATGCACACACAATATGTTTAACCTCATTGTGCACGATGGAGTGTTACCCTAGTGCAGTGCCAGCTTGGAATACAACTTTTTAGTTGAGATCTGGCTGTGAAACTGACAGCATAGGTCCATGATGCTGGACAGGAATGTTTCCAAGATAATGCACGAACAGACGAGATGGAAGAGCGACAGGACCAGGCATGAAAGCTCGGGCATGATTCCAGCTAAACAACAGGCCCTCATTAAGAATTTCATGGTTCGGTTAACTGACAGTACAATGGTGTATATGCCTACTCAGAAGTACGCGCTCTTACTTTTCCTCTAAAACTAGAAAGTCCCAGATGCTGCAGTCGTCCAGCCAAGTAATGTGTACATAAAAAAATGCCTCTACTGGGGCTAAAATGTGCATAAAAATGTGAAAAGAACATTCAAAAACTGCTTTATTTGCGGGGAAACTGCTGCATTAAAATGTTCATGTTACACAAAAATGTGCAATTTGTATGACCACACAAATTTGTAAGAAATTGACTGATTCTCCCATCCTTATCTCTTCAAACAACTGGACACTCACGAGTCCAGGCAAATGCCTTAGAAAACATCTGCAGGACATCTAAATATCGTAGCAGCTGGATATGGTACAGTGGTACCTCAGGTTAAGTACTTAATTCATTCTGAAGGTCAGTATTTAACCTGAAACTGTTCTTAACCTGAAGCACCACTTTAGCTAATGGGGCCTCCTGCTGCTGCCGCGCCGCCACTGCACGATTTCTGTTCTCATCCTGAAGCAAAGTTCTGAACCTGAAGCACTATTTCTGGGTTAGTGGAGTCTGTAACCTGAAGCGTCTGTAACCTGAAGCATATGTAACCCGAGGTACCACTGTATTAGGAAAGGGTTAGGGTGCCCCCTAGTGTCCTACCAAAGCACTGACAATGGAATATAGAAAGTGACCTCATACTGATTCAAACTGTTGGTCCACCTGGCAGCCTCTCAGTGGTGCTTGATGCCCCAGCAAGGGTTGCCGTATGTCCTCTTTTTCCAGGACACGTCCTCTTTTTCATGGGTATGTAAAATGAGAGTCATCATAGTGATCCATAGTTAAAAATAGAAGTCGTGTCCTCTTTTTTGCTCTTCAAAATAGGGCAACCCTACAGACCAAAGCTTTCCAAACTGCATTTAAAAGGGTAAAGGTAAAGGGACCCCTGACCGTTAGGTCCAGTTGTGACCGACTCTGGGGTTGCGGCGCTCATCTCGCTTCATTGGCCGAGGGAGCCGGCATACAGCTTCCAGGTCATGTGGCCAGCATCACTAAGCCGCTTCTGGCGAACCAGAACAGCGTACGGAAACGCCGTTTACCTTCCCGCCAGAGTGGTACCTATTTATCTACTTGCACTTTGATGTGCTTTCGAACTGCTAGGTTGGCAGGAGCAGGGACCAAGCAACGGGAGCTCACCCCATCATGGGGATTCGAACCGCCGACCTGCTGATCGGCAAGTCCTAGGCTCTGTGGTTTAACCCACAACACCACCCACGTCCCTACTTTAAAAGGGTAGATTGTGCCAATTGGTAGAAGATTAGATCAGCAGTGGCTATTAGCTACCACGGCTGTTTCCTGCTTCTAGTATTAGTATATATTAGTCCTCATAAGGGCAGAAGCAAAGTGTTTCGCTAGACCTTGTCCTGTTTTTCTGCTAGAAGCTGTTCCTTCAGAATCAGGAATGTGCCCAGCCTTGGTTTATCCATCAAAGGTGCAAGTCACTACAAGCCTATGGTTTCAGAGAGCGAGCGAGAGAGATGGTGGGATATCTTGGGGATCCAAACTGTGGTTGAGGAACCCATGGCTCTCCATGTTGGACTCTAAATCTCATCAGCCCCAACAGTCAGTCAACAATGCTCAGTTATCACCTGGGTGTTCAGGAGGGGGTGGAATACAGTGGATTCCTCTATTTCCTCTATGTGTTTGGGAATCCAGACAATGGTTTTTTCCAGTATATGTGTGTGTGTGTGTGTGTGTGTGTGTGTGTGTGTGTGTGTGTGTGTGATTCTATTCCTCCCTCCAATTTAGTTGCCATTCCCCCTTTTCAGCAACTCAGCATACCACACCATTGCGTTTTTATGGTGTTGTTATGCGAACTCATCGATTTCGATGTGTAGATCTCACTTCTGTCTCCAGGAAGCATCCAGATGTTAACCAGTAAAAATTACAGATCCAGTAAATAGATTTCAGACATTATTGTTTTTTTAAGGAAAGGGGACATGTAAAATAAATAAATGGCAAGAGCAAAGCTGTGGTAGAAAGAAAATACTTTGGTTGTTTTTTTAAAGAATTCCAAAAAATGTAAATAAATTACTTTTTGCAAATGAAACAAATGCAATGGAAATGGCCAAATTTACAAACCAGAAAGTTTAAACCCTATCTATTGTACTCAGTTCTTGGCGGTAATTGACGCTTTCCATTCCCCTCCTCCTCTATTTCTCTGACTCATCAACCCTCCAGTCCAGCAGATAGAAAATTCCAAAAGGACCAGTGGAAGAGACAAACGTAGAAACAATTTCAGTCTCCCTCTCCTCAACATGGACTAGGATCTTGCCCAAAGGCGTGTTTCCATCACGCATGCTGTGGCTTGGTAATGTAAAAGTCTTGACTGGTCAGGTGTGGAGGGAGGGATGACAGCCAGGTATTGGGGAAGAAGGGTGGCAAAGGAGTGGGAATTTGGTGGCAAACACACACACACAAACACAAGCACATATTTATAAATGTGCGCACATATGTTTTTGTATGCGCACACTGGCTTTTCCTGTGTGTACCCTACTATTACAGTGTGATGTCACAGGTATTTGTGTGGCTCCCAAGCACACACACCCCAGCTCAAAAAACATATGTCAATTTTATTTTATTAAAAAATCACTTTTGCTGGCCGCTCCTTTGGGTCCCCTTGGAAAAGAAGCTTGAGAAGTACAGTCCTCACCAAAGCCACTTTGTCACGTTGGCTACACTTTGGCAGTTCCCCATCCCTTGGAGGGTTGGCTCATGTGGCCTTTAGCTCAAAAAGGTTAGCTGCTTTTTGAGGTTTTCGTTTCTCTTCCTTCAAGTCTGCTGCCTCCTCACCCTCTGTCTCACCCCTGGACTTGTGCCCCAAAGGTATTCCATGAACCCACCACTGAAGGGAATGGCCCTGGCTGTTGGCTGCTCCCCACCCCTGTTGTAAATGGATTATTGCGTCTCACCCTCCCGCTGCTCAATTATTTTTGTGTGTGCATCGTAAGCATTGGCACCCAAAGCAAACAGGATCGCTGAATGTTTGGTACAAGACGTGTCTACACAGGACGGCTGTCTCTCTCTCTCTCACACACACACACACACACACACACGAAGGAGGAGGCACAACTGTTCTTTCCTATACAAATGCCCCCCACTTCCACAAAAGAAACAGATTCTTGACCCCATCACATCTCGTTGATTGTTCGGGTGACTTCATCCAGAACTTCCTCCAAGGAGCTCTGAGTCCTGCAAGAGAGAAAGGGGAGGAATCATTGCAAATGAGCGTGGACAGCGTGGCTCAAAATCGGTGCTGCATCAACAGTACAAAACTGGCATTTTCAATCAGTGAAAACAACAACAACAACAACCTTCCATGAGAAAACCACCCACATCTCAACATATTGGAATAATTGGTTTATTTGCTGTTGCATTTCTATCCCACTTCAAGGGGGGATTCAAGAGGGCATACATAGTTCTATCCTCTCCCTATTTTTATCCTCAAAACAACCCTGTGAGGTAGGCTAGGCTGAGACACAATGACTGGCCTTTTGCCACATCCAGTGGACTACATGACCCAGCAAGGATTTCAACCCTGATCTCCTGGGTCCTAGCCCAGCACTCTAACCACGACCCAACTGTACCTAATGCCAGTCCTACTCAGAGTAAGGTAAAGGTAAAGGGACCCCTGAGCATTAGGTCCAGTCGTAGCCGACTCTGGGGTTGCGGCGCTCATCTCGCTTTATTGGCCGAGGGAGCCGGCGTACAGCTTCCGGGTCATGTGGTCAACCTGACTAAGCCGCTTCTTGCGAACCAGAGCAGCGCACGGAAACGCCGTTTACCTTCCCGCCAGAGTGGTACCTATTTATCTACTTGCACTTGATGTGCTTTCGAACTGCTAGGTTGGCAGGAGCAGGGACTGAGCAACAGGAGCTCACCCCGTCACGGGGATTCAAACCGCCGACCTTCTGATCAGCAAGTCCTAGGCTCTGTGGTTTAACCCACAGTGCCACCCGTGTCCCTCCTACTCAGAGTAGACCCACTTAAATTACTGGTCAATTTAGGCCCATTAATTTCAGTGGATCTACTCTGGGTAGGACTAACAATGGACTCAACTCAATGGAAATAACTGGTTTGACACCTTGCCTAGCCGGATCTGCTGTTGTCAACATAGCCTTTTGTTCTCAGGGCAGCTTATACCAAGAGAACAAATGAAACACAATGCAAGAAGTAGGTCAGCAATTTAGCACTTAAAAGTGTGTTTTGTCAAAAGAGTTCAGTAACAAATCTTACAAAACCACACCCTCTGTGAAGGTTTGAGGCTGGGACAGAAACATGTTTGAAGCTGACAGTAAGGAAAATGGGAATCTCTGAGTTGTTAGGCTGGTTTGTTTTGGTTTTTTTCCAGCTGATTGGTCTGAAGGTGATGAGGAAGAACGGTAGTTCAGTGGCGAGCATCAGATTTCCATGCAGAACATCCCAGGTCCAATCACTGGAATCTCCAGGTAGGCCTGGGAAATGCTCCCTGTCTGCAACCCTGAAGAATGGCTGCCAGTCTGAATAGGCAACACTGAGATAGACAAACAGTCTGACTCAAAATAAGGTAGATTCCGAAGTTCCTATGTTCAACAGTAATTAGTTGGGTAGGAAAGATGGGGGGGTCACACCTGGCAACCAATGAGCCCCTTTCTGCAAGATCTCTCCTATGGATTTAAAATTGTATGAAGATAGAGACTTGCTTTTCCCAAGAGCAATATTGTCTGGTTCCAGAATTAACACTAAATACATTATGTCTGTTAAATGAGCCACTATAGCCTCTAGAGGGCCATGAAAATTTATGTCCCTGGCTTTTTAGACTCATCTACCCACATACTAAAAGGGTCATGGGTGGTGCTGTGGTCTAAACCACAGAGCCTAGGGCTTGCCGATCAGAAGGTCGGCAGTTTGAATCCCCATGACGGGGTGAGCTCCCGCTGTTCGGTCCCAGCTCCTGCCAACCTAGCAGTTTGAAAGCACGTCAAAGTGCAAGTAGATAAATAGGTAGCGCTGCAGCGGGAAAGTAAATGGCATTTCCGTGTGCTGCTCTGGTTTCACCAGAAGCAGCTTAGTTATGCTGGCCACATGACCCGGAAAAACTGTCTGCGGACAAACGTCGGCTCCCTTGGCCAGTAAAGCGAGATGAGTGCTGCAACCCCAGAGTCGTCCGTGACTGGACTTAAAAGTCAGGGGTCCCTTTACCTTTACCCATGTACTATCTGAAACCAAAGGGTTTCCCAATATGAACACTACCACGATTTTCCACTTTCCTACCCCACTATAATTGGAAACACCCTCAGAAAACAGCCTCAGCCTTAGTGTCTCTCCCTTGCAGTAACTTCCTTCGTAATAATAATAATAATAATAATAATAATAAAATTTTATTTATATCCCGCCCTCCCCAGCCGAAGCCAGGCTCAGAGTAGCTAACAACAATAAAAGTAACACAGCATTCTAAAATCAATTCATTCGAAAATCAAGTCAAAATCAAATTAATGGCAACCATTGGGCTTGAGTTCTGTGAAGATTGCCAAAGGAGGGAGTCAGGCTGTGCCTTGGCCAAAGGCTTGGTGGAACAGCTCTGTCTTGCAGGCCCTGCAGAAAGATGTCAAGTCCCGCAGGGCCCTAGTCTCTTGTGCCAGAGCGTTCCACCAGATCGGGGCCACAGCCGAAAAAGCCCTGGCTCCGGTTGAGGCCAGCCTAACCTCCCTGTGGCCCGTAACCATTTGGGAAGGGAATATCCACCATCTAAATATATCCTTTGAGGTGACTCTTTGATGTGCTGCTTTGGGGAAGGACCACAGTTCAGTGGTATAGCATCTGCTTTTCATTTAAAAGGATCCGGGTTCAATCCCTGGCATCTTCAACTAAAACAGGAGCAAGGTTGCACTCCCCCTGTTCCTCTCTCTGCATAGGTCATCCATCAGGGCAACCAAAGCCAACTCAGTCCTGTGGTCATGACTGAACCCATATTGTCATTGACTCAAGTTCTACCCATCGTCGGCTCTGGCTCCCCCTACTGTTGGGCTCCCAGCCTTTCACCCTACCAATCCCAACAGGTGCCGGCCACCACTGTTGCTCATTTGGAAATATTAGAGCCATACCAATGAGCTCCAGTAATCTCTCCTTTACGGAGGGTGGCTTTGCAATGGCTTCCAAGGGGAAAGGGATGCCAAAGGTTCATGAATGACTTTCCTACCCCCAATAGATAATGCAGCTGCAATAGAATACCCCATATGGAACAGTACCTTCTTTGAAGTCCACGCCAGGGACACAATCAGTAAACACAGGGCACAACCTCCTTGTCATTCATCAGTTCAACGTCGGAGTCGGGGAGATTCTTCATATGCTTGTACTTATTACTGGATGTCCTCTGGAGCCACAAAGAAGGGAAGAGGATGGAGAAGGAGATAAAAGATGTGAGGGATCACAGCTTCGGAGAATGAATCATATCTTACCCCCACCTGTACGCTTTACTTCTCCAGGTTTCAATGGAATTCCTTTTCATATAGCAGAAGTCTCAACAGATTATGAGAACTACATTGGATTAGCCATGGGAGCTGCCCATCCCCTCTGTAGACCCACCTGAATTATTGGTCATTGGTTTCAAGGCCAGATAAGGATGGCAGCCTTTTCCCCCTTAGTGTGAGAGGTGCTGGTTAAGATAGATAAGATAAAACTTTATTGGCATTAGCCAATAGCCATAGCAACAGTAAAACATTACAGTATATGCAGAAAAGGGAATTTGATATAAGAGCACAATTTAAAGTCCTGAATCAGCCGTCAGTTAGTGGCCCTTATTCTGATTGCCCCTGCTATGAACCTAGCAACCTCTGCTGTTATCTGCTCATTTTGATCTGATAGAAGAAAGGACAATGTGGCAATGGTTGAGCGCCCTGGGATGGTTAGTACAAGTGGGGTGATGATCTTGTTCCTCAGGTCTTTGTAGAGGGTGCAAGACAGGAGGACGTGTGCCACTGTTTCAGTGCTACCATCTCCACAGGGGCAAAGACGTTTCTCAGGCGGGATCTTTTGGAATCGACCCTCGAGTACCGCAGATGGCGAAACATCCAGTCTTGCAAGTGTAAAAGCACGTCTGTATTTTGGGATAACAAGAGGTGTTGGTTGCTTGAAATGCAAATTGGCCTGAGAGGAGTATGGTGATTGGAGAAAGGTCAGAAAGCCACCAACGATGCCTCCATAGATACAGGCCATGTTTGTATCCTACATTTAAAGCAGTATTATACCACTCTAAGAGTCATAGCTTCTCCCCACGAATTCTGGGAAGTGTAGCTTGTTATACCCCCTATCCCCCCACCCAAAGCTACAATTCACAGAGTTCCCTGGGAAGAGGGATTGATTGATAAGCTACTTGTCTGGATGATATATCTCCATCTGCCAGCTGCTCTGGATCCATCTGTGTTGCGAGACCCCTTTCCCCTCAAACAAGGATTACCTTGACCGGTGAGAGTTCCTGGTGAATTAGCTTCTTAAACTCACTCTTCTGGAACTTCTCCGTCTCGGCCACCTTCTTGTGGTTTGCCTTGGAGTTGCGCTCAATCATGTTTGTGAAGGCTTTGTACAGGCTTGACATCTTGCGATGCTCAGATTTTTTCCTGCAAGTAGGAATGAAGGCTGATCACAACAACATAATAAAAGCCTGCTGGATCAGGCCAAAGGCCCATCTGCTTCAGCATCCTGGCTCAACTGGTATTCAACAAAAAGGGTTTATTGTATGAACCGAAAGTCGTACCAATTTAACTGGTAGTCAAAGACATATCGTGGAAGGGCTAGGAGTCCCTTCTTAGTGCAGGAGACTGAATAGGTCACTGTAGGTCTTCTTTTTATGGACCACCTTAAAATACCTGATGACCCTGGAGGACCCATTCATGATTTTCATTCCATTTTGGAAGCAACTGCAATGTGCTTCGCTAGATGCTGAATTATTTGTAGCTGTGCTCTCGTTGCTTCTTTTATTTCTTATGTTGCATCTTACTGTATTGGAATCTGCACTCACAGAATTCAGATTGTAAAAAAATGCAATAAAAGAAATAAAAGATGCAATCGAAATGCAATGAAAATTCAACATGAAATTTTAATGCAGACATGCCCTAGACCACCTGAATGAAGCTCATGGATCCACAGATTGCAGTTTGGGTACCACTGTTGCAGGGGTGCCACTGTGGGTACCCACTGCTGCAACGTGGGCATGCAACATCACATGCACTACATGCAGGCTTGTGTGTGTGACGTCACACATCTGCGTTGCGGCGGCAGTGGGGACTCCTCTTCTTCCTCCTATCCACAGACAGCAAAACACCCTTTTCCATGGGGAGGGGCTTGGACTTGGAAACAGAGAGACCCACCCGCCAGAAAAGGGTGCCTCGCTGGCTGGCAGAGAAGGGCAGAGCTGAACTGCTTCTCTCTCGGAGGCAGTGTTGCTGCCGCCTGCCGGCGTTTTTCATTGACTTTGTGGGCACCCAGCCCCAAAAATTATATTATTATTTTTCTATTTTATTGAATTTTACAAGAAAAGAAAGAGAAAGAGAAAGACAAACAAAGAACAATACATAACATTGTAAACACATTTATATACCGTATTTTTCGCCCTATAGGACGTACTTTTCCCCCTCCAAAAATGAAAGGGAAATGTGTGTGCGTCCTATGGGGCGAATGCAGGCTTTCGCTGAAGCCTGGAGAGCGAGAGGGGTGCGCACCGACCCCTCTCGCTCTCCAGGCTTCGCGCAGCTCTCCGCAAGCCGTGGGAGCCCGGCGCTGGGCTCCCATGGCTTGCGGAGAGTTGCCTGCATGCCGAAGGCTGGGTGCCCTGAGCTCAGCGCGCCCAGGCTTCAAACTTCGTGCAGCTCTCCGCAAGCGGTGGGAGCCCGGCGCTGGGCTCCCACGGCTTGCGGAGAGCTGCCTGTTCTGGGAAGCTCGAGCTTCCCCCGCCCCAGCCCTGCGCCTTGCGGTGAAATAATTTTTTCCCCTTTATTTCCCCCCCAAAAAACTAGGTGAGCCTTATGGGCCGGTGCGTCCTATGGGGCAAAAAATACGGTACATGTTTTCCAAAATGCAAACTAAAAAAAAAGACAAAAGAAAAGGAAAAAAATACTTTTCATAACCAATAATATTACCAAATTCATGCTTCAAACATTACAATATATAAATCCTAGTCAAAATATTATAAAAGACTTCCACCGCATTCGCCGCACGTCTTAGTTATCTTGCTCGCCTTTACATCTGTTCTTCAATCCTTTCCCTTCCTTAGGTTCTTTCATAATCAGTCCAATCTTTATGTTCTCTATATTCTTCACAAGGTTAGTCTAAGCACAACCAAACTTTCATATTTGAGCCCTGCTTGTATAAATATTCATTTAAGCATTCCCATTGTTTCGGAATTATAGTTTTGGATTTATGCCTTATTAAATCCGTCAGGTACTCACATAGTTTACTTAACCATTCCCCTTTTGTTGGGATAGAATTTCCTTCCCAGTGTTATATTATTATATAATTCCAATGTTAGATATTATATAATTTCCTTTCCAAAATTATATTATTGTGGGCGCCCAAGCACCCATGGCCCCCTGGAGTTGGCTGCTGTTGTAGCCATTTGATTTTCATGACCCATTTTTCTCCTGGCAAGCAAGCAAGTATCACCCAGGGAGCTACACCCCACAGCTGCAATTGAACAAAATAGGAGGCGGAGGAGTGAGAGGAGGATTTGGCCATGACTCACACCCAAAACCGCCCATATGTTCTCCCACACAAATCATGGGTGTCTGCTGGAACACTTGGGATTAACCTGGAGAAATGACACCTGTTGACACAACAGGTGCAATCCTAAGAATGTCTACTCTGATGTAAGACCCATCAAGTCTAATGGGTCTTGCTACCAATTAAGTAGGTGTCAATTTGCAGCCTCTCAGCTGTCAACCCGGAAGATACTTTTTTGTTTTTTCAATCAATCTTTATTACGGTCCAGAGACCCAACAAAGCAATGCACAATTCAGGCAGCCTACCTCCAGGTTAAACAAGCATTTTGTTCAGACTTAAAGATAGGGATCATTGGTTCTTGCAACTACCGATAAAAACTTCGCCACTGCTAATGTTCTAGCGTTTGTCTGGTCTTCCAGTAGGAACCTGACATAGTGAGCCTCTGATTTTCCCGGGAAAGGTACCAGCAAGGGTTTTTTAAATTAATTATTTGGTTTTTGAGGTTAAAATTTTACAGTCACATATACAACATAGAAACAAGATTCCAAGGAATCTCTTGGACTTCCCTCCTCCCCCTTGTGGGTCCTATTGTCAATCATTTCCTCCTGCACAGGCTTCCTCAAACTTGGCCCTCCAGATGTTTTTGGCCTACAACTCCCATGATCCCTAGCTAGCAGGACCAGTGGTCAGGGATGATGGGAATTGTAGTCTCAAGACAGCTGGAGGGCCAAGTTTGAGGAAGGCTGCATCCTGCATCTTTTATGATAACCCAAATATTTTACCTCTCTATTGTGTCCAAAATTCACCAATGAACCACAAGTGGTCCAATCTTACTAACGATTGTAACTGTTTACAATGGTCTTTAAGATACGTTATAAAATATTTCCCCATTCCTTATTAAAATTTTGGCCTTCCTTATTTCTGATTCTGCTGGTCATTTTAGCCATTTCTGCATAGTCCACTAACTTCATCTGCTATTCTTCTCTGGTTGGGACTTTATCTTCTTTCCATCTCTGGGCCAATAAAATCCGTGCAGCTGTGGTCGCATACATAAATAGTCTTTTCTGCTTCCTAGAAATTTCGGCATCAACCGGGAAGATTAAGGACAGTCCAAAGGAAGGACTTCCTCACACAATGCGTAGTTGAATTATGGAATTTGCTCTTCACAGGAGGCAGCGATGGGCACCAGCTTGGATAATAATAATATAATACAGTGGTACCTTGGGTTAAATATGCTTCAGGTTACATACGCTTCAGGTTACAGACTCCGCTAACCCAGAAATAGTGCTTCAGGTTAAGAACTTTGCTTCAGGATGAGAACAGAAATCGTGCTCCAGCGGCGAGGCAGCAGCAGGAGGCCCCATTAGCTAAAGTGGTCTTCAGGTTAAGAACAGTTTCAGGTTAAGAACGGACCTCCGGAACGAATTAAGTACTTAACCCAAGGTACCACTGTAATAATTTATTATTTATACCCCTCCCATCTGGCTGAGTTTCCCCAGCCACTCTGGGTGGTTCCCAATCAAGTGTTAAAAACAATACAGCATAAATATTAAAAACTTCCCTAAACAGGGCTGCCTTCAGATGTCTTTTAAAGATAAGATAGCTGCTTATTTCCTTGACAGGGCATTCCACAGGGTGGGTGCCACTACCAAGAAAGCCCTCTGTTTGGTTCCCTGTAACCTCACTTCTCGCCAGAAGGCCCTCTGAGGCTGGACCTCAGTGTCTGGGCTGAACGATGCGGGTGGAGATGCTCCTTCTGGTATACAGGACCAAGGCCGTTTAGGGCTTTAAAGGTCAGCACCAACACTTTGATTTTGAAAGGGGATTAGACAACGTCATGGAGCAGAAGGTTATCATGAGAGTTTTGTTCCACCCCCACAGTCCAAGGCAGGATGCCTCTGAATACCAATCACTGGGCCTCAGGTTCTGCTTTCAGGCTTCCCAGATTTAAAGCAGACAAAAGGAAGGGCTATAGGTTATAGGTGCCTAGCACATGCACCGTGATGTCATGATGTCACATTGCGACGTGATGTCATGACATCACGCGCCCTGCAGCCTCAGAACCTGGCTTCTGGTGCCACCTGAAGTCAGGTTCCAAGATCCTGCAAGGCCTCAGAGAGCACAAGAAGTTGCATCGGGGGGGGGGGAGCTGCAGTATGGGTGCTGAGCTCAGGCCCCCGGGGCCCCCTATAGTGAAATCACTTCAAGATGCTTCATAAAAACTGATTCATATGTGAAAAAACAATGGCTTGCATTTAATGTTGAGGTAGACCATTGAAATTGATAGGCATGACAAACTTAGATCAATTAATTTCAAAGGGGGGGGACTTGAAGTTGTCTGCAAAATAATAATCATATTCCTTGGGGACCACAGTTTGGTTAAAGGTGCTGAGAGTTGCTAGGGGACCCCCTTTTCCCCTCACAGCACTACAGTTCCCAGGGTGGTTTAACGGTCCATCCCTTTTCTTGGGGAACTCAGTAAAGACCAGGTCTCATCTAACCTCTGCATCACCTTTGTGCAAGCAAATCAGGATGAACTCTCGGCAAACAGGTCATCCGGATGGCCCCAACATTACCAGAAAGCTAGCATCTTAAAAAGCAGAGACATCACCTTGCCAACAAAGGTCCGTATAGTTAAAGCCATGGTTTTCCCAGTAGTGATGTATGGAAGTGAGAGCTGACCATAAAGAAGGCTGATCGCCGAAGAATGGATTCTTTTGAATTATGGTGCTGGAGGAGACTCTTGAGAGTCCCATGGACTGCAAGAAGATCAACCCTATCCATTCTGAAGGAAATCAGCCCTGAGTGCTCACTGGAAGGACAGATCCTGAAGCTCAGGCTCCAATACTTTGGCCACATCATGAGAAGAGAAGACTCCCTGGAAGAGACCCTGATGCTGGGAAAGATGGAGGGCACAAGGAGAAGGGGACGACAGAGGACGAGATGGTTGGACAGTGTTCTGGAAGCTACCAGCATGAGTTTGACCAAACTGCGGGAGGCAGTGGAAGACAGGAGTGCCTGGTGTGCTCTGGTCCATGTGGTCATGAAGAGTCGGACACGACTAAACGACCGAACAACAACAAATCAATACACATGCCTTATTGCAGAGCGTAATCATCGTACTCATCATCTAACACAACAAAATAATATGCCTCTGAACAGTAAGTTACTAGAATGCAATAGTGGGGCAAGGCTATTTGCTTCCCGCCCTGATTTTGAGCTTCCCAGAGCATTTGGCTGTCTGCTATGGGATAGGGCTGTAGTTCAGCAGTAGACATAGGTGCCAACTCCCTGGGAGCCTGGGTACCCGAGCACCCACAAAATTCCATATGAAGGAGCTGAGCACCCACAAATTTCAGTGCCAGGGCTATGCACGCTGTATGGCACCCATGGCCCTGGGCACGCACAGTCATGGAGCCATTCCTGGATTTCGCAATACAGTAAAAAACATGTACAGAACAATTGCATATATAAGAGTAGTCAAACACACACACAAACATATTCAGATACCAACTGGATTCACCATCAGCCTCTCATCATCAATGCATTTCGTAACATACCATTTTTCTATAAAGCACCAGTACTTCCACTGATGATGTGCTACAGTCTGAATTTCCCCCAAGTTGGTTTCAGGGGCTGGGGGCGCTGCTAAACCAATGGAGCTTCTTGGGCTTGCCGATCAGAAGATCGGCGGTTTGAATCCCCGCAACAAGGTGAGCTTCTGTTGCTCTGTCCCAGCTCCTGCCAACCTAGCAGTTCGAAAGCACACCAGTGCAAGTAGATAAATAGGTACCATTGTGGTGGGAAGGTAAGTGGTGTTTCTGTGTGCTCTGGCACTTGTCACGGTCCTCCGTGCTCCAGAAGGGGTTTAGTCATGCTGGCCACATGACCCGGAAAGCTGTCTGTGGACAAACGCCGGCTCCCTCGGCCTGAAGCGAAATGAGCTCCGCAACAGTCACCTTTGACTTAACCGTCCAGGGATCCCTTACCTTTACCTTACCTTTCATGCATGGTGAATCCTTACATCAATGGAACCACACAGAAGTGAATTGGGCTAAATGGGTTTTTGATACATGCCTCATTCCCAACTCTGTGGTCCCAGGACTGCACCCACACAATGTAACTAAACCATTTTAAATTTTTTTAAGCACATTACTTTCTCCGAAGAATGCTGGGCACTGCAGCTAACTCCTCACAGAGCTACAAATTCCCAGCACTCTGAAGAAAGTGTGCCTCCCCCTGGATTCTTCAGGTGAGTTTGCTTTAAATATGTATGCAGGTTAAACCTAAGACAGAATAAAATCCCAAGACTTACCCAGGTCAGCGCTGAGAAATTGGCCCGGGCAAATGCAGCATTTGCAAAAGCAAGGCACCCCACGCCAGCTTCCCTTATGCTGAGCGGTGAGAGAAAGTGGGAGGCGGATGGTGAGTTTCCTTCTGGCCAAACCTGCTCCGCTGTTGTTGTTGCTCCATTTCCCCTGCGTTCCTGCTGGAACCCTCCCAGATGATCATATGTCAGGAAGGTGTTTATCCACGTGCGTGAGAGACAGGTTGAGAGAGATGGGGAGCAGGTTAGCTCTCTGCAGGAGACTGGGGTCAAGGGAATAAGAAGAATGAAAAAGAACGTTTCCTTTTAAAAAAATATATCTTTATTAATTTAAGATAAATACATTTATGAGAAAACAGACCTACATACAAGTAAACAAACATACAATCGAACACGCAAATAACAGAAAAATCAAATAAACCACCACACTATAAGATAATTAATTAATATAATTATAATATAATTAATATAATTATCATTATATATACTCCTGATACTAAACACAATTATAAAACTTAGAGAAGAAATTTAAAACTGACTTCCAATTAATCTCACTGTACTTTATCTATCCATTACTTTATACCGCACAGTTACATATTTCTTATATAATTTCTTTTTGCCTCCCTACGAACTTATATTTATACAATACAGGGATCAGTCTAATTCTGCCAAGATGTTTCCTTTTATTCCATAGTTTTCTAAATATTCTTTAAAGATTCCCCAATCCTTAGAGACTTTTTGTTTTGGTTGGCCTCTTCCTCTTCCTCTTCCTGTCGCTTTCGCTAGCTGCAGATATTCTACCATTTTTATTTTTTATTTTTTATTTAGAATATCTGCGAAAAAGAACGTTTCCTATGCTCTGGAAGAAATTATAGCTGTTCTCTGCCTCCACAGTCAGAGGCAGCAATGATTCTGAATACAGTGGTACCTCGGGTTACATACGCTTCAGGTTACATATGCTTCAGGTTACAGACTCCGCTAACCCAGAAATCATGCTTCAGGTTAAGAACTTTGCTTCAGAATGAGAACAGAAATCATGCAGCGGTGGCGCAGCAGCAGCAGGAGGCCCCATTAGCTAAAGTGGTGCTTCAGGTTAAGAACAGTTTCAGGTTAAGTACGGACCTCCGGAACGAATTAAGTACTTAACCCGAGGTACCACTGTACCAGTTGCTGGAAACCACAGGACGGGAGAGTGTTGTCCGGTTTGGTTCAGCTTATGTATTTCCCACTGGGGAACAGATGTTGAACTAGATCATTCATTCATTCATTTTTAAATTTGTATACTGTCCTTCATCTGAAGATCTCGGAGCATTTTGGAAGATGAGTATAGAAAACAAAAATACCTAATGAAAACAAAAACAAAATAACCCCATAACCTCCGCTCCCACAAATACATTCAAAACAAAAAATTACGGGAAAGTGGGATAGATATAAGATATATGTTCAAAAATACAGTCAGGGTTCGCTATCTATTCTAGCATTCGATTGACGTTGGAGAAAGACTGAGTTGAGAAATAAGACCAAGGTTACATATTGATATAGGAATGTATTAGATAAAATGTAAAGAAATACATAATAATAAGAGTACATTCATTTGTAAAAAAGGAATATACAACGGGATAGACAGGAAGTCCAAAGTGTTGGTACATATATGATTTTGGAATAGTTTTTTGTCCTTTTCCCCCCTCTCTTTTAGTATATAAACTTTGTATACATGTTGAAAATTATAGTACATTAAGCCTTGTGATGTAATAGGATAATGTTTACCAATGTAACATAAGAACCTTAATAAATAAATCCAGATTAAACTTCTTTCTTTCTGCAGTGTTGGATGGCAGGTTGAGAGGAGTTCCCTACCAGGACAGACTTTGCTCGTGTGCTCAAGACATCGATTCTATAAAACGTATTTTACTGCACTGTGCGAAATATGAGCAAGCCAGGGCTGAACTGATATTACCCTTGCTGGTACCTTTCCCGGGAAAATCAGAGGCTCACTATGTCAGGTTCCTATTGGAAGACCGGACAAACGCTAGAACATTAGCAGTGGCGAAGTTTTTATTGGTGGTTGCAAGAACCAATGATCCCTATCTTTAAGTCGGAACAAAATGCTTGTTTAAGCTGGAGGTAGGCTGTCTGAATTGTGTGTTGCTCTGTAGCGATTTGTTGGGTCTCTGGACTGTAATAAATTAAGTTAATAAATAAATAAAATTAAAATTAAAAAAATAAAATAAAATAAGAGTATAGGAAGGTAATCAGCCAAAGGCCCAGTTGAAGAGGAACATTTTTGCCTGGCGTCTAAAGGAGTATAAAGAAGGAGTCAAGTGAGCCTCCCTGGGGAGAGAGTTCCACAAGCAGGGAGGCACTACACTCTCATGTTACCCAGGGACGTCCTATCCATGGAGGCTAGTGATGCAGGGCGCCAGGGCACCACGTTCCGGAGGGTGCCAGGAAAGAGGCGGAGGCTGAAAGTGGCGTCTCCTGGCATCAGCTCACCGCTCTCACCTGCCTCTGCCATGCTGCGCCAAAGCAGCGTCGCGCCCGGAGCCTCCTCCTACTGTGGCCACCGCGGCACAAAGCGGCCAGCTGAGCTGGGAGGCGCCGCATCCAGCCTCCGCCTCTTCCCCACCAGAGGAGCCGCCCTCCAGCCGCTGCCCGCCTCCTCTAGCCCCGCCGGCAGCACTGTCCTCCCTTAAAAACTCTGGGAAACAGAGGAGGGCACTGGATGGAGCTTTGCACCACAGCACCAGATGATAATAATAATAATAATAATAATAATAATAATAATAATAATTTATTATTTGTACCCCGCCCATCTGGCTGGGTTTCCCCAGCCACTCTGGGCGGCTTCCACAGAAACCAAAAATACAGTAAAATCACACATTAAAAACTTCCCTGAACAGGGCTGCCTTCAGATGTCTTCTGAATGTCAGGTAGTTGTTTATCTCTTTGACATCTGATGGGAGGGCATTCCACAGGGCGGGCGCCACTACCGAGAAGGCCCTCTGCCTGGTTCCCTGTAGCTTTGCTTCTCGCAATGAGGGAACCGCCAGAAGGCCCTCGGCGCTGGATCTCAGCGACCGGGCAGAACGATGGGGGTGGAGACGCTCCTTCAGGTATACTGGGCCGAGGCCGTTTAGGGCTTTAAAGGTCAACACCATCACTTTGAATTGTGCTCGGAAACGTACTGGGAGCCAATGTAGGTCTTTCAAGACCGGTGTTATGTGGTCTCGGTGGCTGCCCCCAGTCACCTTCAAAGGTAGCCCCACGTAGAGCACATTGCAGTAGTCCAAGCGGGAGATAACTAGAGCATGCACCACTCTGGTGAGATAGTCCGCGGGCAGGTAGGGTCTCAGCCTGCGTACCAGGTGGAGCTGGTAGACAGCTGCCCTGGATACAGAATTGACCTGCGCCTCCATGGACAGCTGTGAGTCCAAAATGACTCCCAGGCTGCGCACCTGGTCCTTCAGGGGCACAGTTACCCCATTCAGGACCAGGGAGTCCTCCACACCAGCCCGCCCCCTGTACCCCATAAACAGTACTTCTGTCTTGTCAGGATTCAACCTCAATCCATTAGCCGCCATCCATCCTCCAACTGCCTCCAGTCACTCACACAGGACCTTTACCGCCTTCACTGGTTCTGATTTGAAAGAGAAGTAGAGCTGGGTATCATCTGTATATTGATGGACACCCAGCCCAAACCCCCTGGTGATCTCTCCCAGCAGCTTCATATAGATGTTAAAAAGCATGGGGGAGAGGACAGAACCCTGAGGCACCCCACAAGTGAGGGCCCAGGGGTCTGAACACTCATCCCCCACCACCACTTTCTGAACACGGCCCAGGAGGAAGGAGCGAAACCACTGTATATGCTTTGTATATGCTTTGTATATGCATTATATATGCTTAAGATGGCCCTGATGTTACCCACCCTCCGGACCTCTTGTGGAGAAGGCACATGATAATGATCACAAGGTCCAGGTCAGTTCATATGGGGACAGGTTGAAGGAGCTAGGTTTGTTTAGCCTGGAAAAGAGGGTTCTGACAGCAGATATAACCGCCGTCTTCAAATATCTCAAGGGCTGCTTCAAGATGAAGCAAGCTTGTTTCCTCCTGATCTGGAGGGTAGGACTCAAACCCATGGCTTCAAATGACCAAAAAAGAGAGATTCTGACTATCAGGAAGAACTTTCTAACAGGAAAAGCTGTTCGACACTGGAAAGGTCTCCCTCGGAAGGTTGTGGACTCTTCATTGGAACCAGGCAGAGGGCCTTCTCGGTAGTGGCACCCATCAGATGTCAAAGAGATAAACAACTACCTGACATTTAGAAGACATCTGAAGGCAGCCTCGTTCAGGGAAATTTTTAATGTGTGACATTTTCATGTATTTTTAATCTTTGTTGGAAGCCGCCCGGAGTGGCTGGGGAAACCCAGCCAGATGGGCTAGGTACAAATAAATTATTATTATTATTATTATTATTATTATTATTATTAAGCAGAGGTTGAGCGGCCATCTGTCATGGATGCTTTATCTGAGATTCCTGCATTGCAGGGGGGATGGACTAGATGACCCTCAGTGTTCATTCTAACTCTACTCTGTGATCCTATGCAGTGCTTTTTTTTCTGGGGGAACACAGGAGTACACATACCCCTAAACATTTTGTGAATCTTTGTACTTTTGTCCATTTACTGTGTTTATTTTTCCCAATTTGAACTATAAAATGGTATTTTCTTGAATCAAAATGAGAGTACCCCTACACATTTTTTAAGGGGGGGGAAGCACTGATCCTATGACTAGGCACCCTTTTTTTTCTCCGATGTGATGAGAATCCAAGTTTTGCTCAATCATTTGAAAACCTTTGGATTAAATAAAAACGAGCCCCAATTTGTGGTGGGGCCCATTGTTAATGCTGTTATCGCTTGGGTTTTTCAATAACATTCCCTTCAACACCTGAAGTCTGGAGACAAGTGGTAATCCTTGTGTAGTGAAAATGGTGGTTTGCATTCACACACAAGAGGAACACTCATGGGAATCCCCAACACACACCCCAAAAAGGTTTGCCGAAACA